AAAAAAAAAAAAAAACACTGGAACATTTTTCAAAATATGATGTGTTTATTTGTGTTCTGCAGAAGAAATAAATGCAGGCAGGTTTAGAATGACATGAGGGTGAGTAAATGATGACAGAATTTTGGGTGGGTGGTATAAATATTAATGGAATTTGAATTTTCTGTGTTTTTAAAAGTGCTTCATCGTCTGTGGCCTAGCAGTGTACATTGAGCCATAGAGCTTGTAAACAAATAAATAAAAAGAAACGTGTGTGTGTGTGTGTGTGTGTGTGTGTGTGTGTGTGTGTATATATATACTATTATTATTATTAATATTTTTATTTATTTATTTTTTTTTTTCAAATATATAAATTTTTTTATTTGTTTAGTTCTTTTTGTTTTAATTGTTCATATTTATTTTTTGTTTATTTTTATTTATTTGTTTTAGTGATGTTTTTTATCTTAATTTGTGGGTGTCAGAAAAATCTATTTATTTTTTATTAATAAAGTGTGTTTCCAATCCACTGTGTAAGATACACACATTAAATAAAATTCATTCAGGTTTAGAATGACCTGTTAACTTTCATTTTAAGTTTTTTTTTTTTTTTTTTTTTTTGTTTTGTTTATTTGTTCTTATTTTTAGGTTTTTATTCGTTTCTTGTTTATGTTTTTGTTTATTTGTTAATTTGTGGATGTGGTTCATGTTCACTGTGTAAGATGCGTGTGATAAATAAAAATCATACTGGTTTGGAAGAACATGAGGTTGAGTAAGTGATGACAAAACTGTTTCTTTGAGACGGGGAAGTTAAACTCCTACTGCATTTCTGAACTCCATTTGCTAAATTTTCCGTATACATTCAGAAACCTTGTGATACCACTGTTTAAAATAAATACTGTAGTAACGGCAGTGTTTTGTGGCTTGAGTACGACAATTCTAACATGGCCTTGGGATACAAGTTACATGACACCAGTATTTTCAATATAGTGTCATGTCCACTCTTATGTCTCCGATCTGCTGTTCTTTCCAGTGCCAGATCACTTCACCACAGCTTTTTTTTTTTCAAATTGGTTGTTGGATCCTCAGTGGGCCGATTATGCGAGGGCAGTCTCATTTTCAGCCTCTCATTAACCAGCAAGAACAATCCTGCCTCTGTCTCTGTTGCTTTCACAGAGAGCCTCATTCAAGCTTCCTGAACTTTCTAAAACAGCACTCTGTAATCTGTCTTTATGATAAACGCCTTCAAATACGATCACTTCTTTCACTCTGGAAACCTCTCTGCCTGATTTTTCTGTCGTCATTGTAAATCATCTAATTGAAATTATGTTTGAACAAGTTTGTCAGGAGATTCTGTTGACAGGGGTCGAGGGAATTGTGGGGGTGGGTCTAGTTTGAAGGCTTTGCCGGCTCTCATTGGTTCTGAAGTTACAGGGGGTGGGGCTTACAGCTTCAGAGCCCCCAAGAAGCAGTGAATGTGACACTTTCCTCAAGCAATATTATCAGAAATATGCATTAGATAATAGTGAGTTGTTTAAAAGGACAAGGGAGAGAGATTGAGCTGAGATCGCAACCTTAACTGGATTCTGTTTGCCTTTCCTATAGAACCTGGACCACAAGACACACTTCTGCACTTTGCTGCAAAGCGCGGGCTACGCAAGGTAGCACTGTTTCTCCTCCAGCAACCTGGAGGAAGAGAGGCCCTCCGACTTCCCAACAAACAGGGTCGTACGCCGGCCAGGGTCGCCCAGAAGAAAGGCCATACGCAGCTCCAGAAACTGCTGACGGAGTAAGTGTGCAAGAAAATTATATCCATAACCAGTATTTTTGGCTAGTTTTTAAGTAACCTTCTGGTCTCCAAGGCCCCCCATTGTCGAAGACAATTTATGAAGGCTCCCCAAAATCTTTCTGATACTTCTGCTATAATGACAAAGAGGATTATTTTGAGAGTTTTTAGTTACAGAAACAGAGTGGCAATATATGTTAAAATACATAATTATAAAAATTTAAAAATTCAGTTCCATAATCCCAATAACTGAATGTTCTTCATGGTTTACCTTTTTTATTACTGGTGCATTACTTTTAGTTTGTAATTACATGGGTTTAATTTAACATATATACAGCATATATAATATTTGTTATTATTGTAACACCTTAAATGAGTCCTGAGAATTGCCTGAGAAATAAAATTATGTAATGATGTTTAGATTATTTTTGCCTTGTTCTGTTGTAAAACTAATACAAACATGCATTTGAGACAAATTCATACAGCCATTGTTGATTGTCATTATTGTCCCCCTTGATCTATGAAATCTGACCAGATTAATGCCAAGAATAGGCTGTTATAAGCCACAGACTTTATCAAACAGAACGGACGTGGTGACCTTTGAAATGCCTTAAATAAATACAGCTTTATCAAATTTGTTGCTCTCAAACATAAAAAGTTAAGTCGCACTCGTAAAGGTAAAGTTTTTACATTTCCAATGTCCTAAACACCCCCGGGGTCAGCCAAACAGATCTGTTGAGGCAATGTTTGTATTGGGTTTGTTTAGATTCTCAAAAAGAGCAATGTTAGACTGAGTCAGATTTATAATATTAAAGCAATGACTTTTATCATGTGAATGAGGCGAGATTTAGTGTTGTGTTCTGAAGAAAGTGTTAGTGTTGTGTTCTGAAGAAAGGAGGATGTTGAAATGTGGGGGAGATAAGAGCAAAGCACAAGGACAGGCCATGTGGCTCTGAGCTCTTTGTAAACAGTTAAAGTCACATAAGCTTTTTAAAGCAAGCCTTTGCATTTCAAACCAGCAAGATCCTGTCTACAGATTTACTCAGTAAAGTGGCATTACCTGTACGTGTGTAACAGAAACGTTTACCTTTATCAGTTTCCTCCAGCCAGTGCTCTTCATAGTCTGTGGCTAGCAAACATATGTTTCCCTACTTGACTATTCTAAAACAGGGTACCAAGGCAGTCTGTGTACTCCTCAGGGTTGAAAACTAAACGGGTCTCCCCTTTAAAGCTCTGCTCATATATTTATGATATATGAGTGGGAGAATTGGGAGAGCTATGCTCGATTTGATCCCATTTTTTTTTCTGTTCATAGTTAATCAGATGTATACCCATGACCTCATGTCTATTAAATTAGATTTGAATCCAAGCCTATACATATGACAGTTTCCTGTTAGCTGTGTCACCCAGACTGATGTCTACCGGGTCACTGGCTGCCCAACTTTGGTAAAGCCAGTGAAATGTGATCACAGACAGAAGGATAGAAGAGAGACCAGAGCTAGCATGTGATCTGTGCTCTCTGGATTCAAGGGTCTGTTATAGAAGGCCGTTAAGTGCTTTGGTTTAGTGCCTCATTTAAAGCAAGTGTACTGAACCACAGCACACCCTTAGATGTTGCCTCAAATCTTTCCATCAAAGCTCATGGTATTTCGTTGGTGGTTTCTCTAAGATATTTTGATGTACTTTCTATGAAGTCATTAAAATACAGTATATAATATCTTATAATATTCATTGTGATCTGTTTAATACATCATATTACTTGCCTATTTATGATTTCACCTTTAGTATAATGCATAACATATAAAACCTGATCAACACTCAATTTTGTGTTATCAAATAAAAGTTAGTATTATAATGTATTATAACTCAGGTTTCAATTATATATATGAGTTTGAATATATCTAAATATTATTTTATAATGTTACCACTTTGTCATTATGTTGTATTTATAGATTAATCGGTTCAGTTAGTGATAGAAGACACAGCAGTTATACAGCACAAATTGTTCAGCTCTCCAGTCCTTAAGAGTTTAGCCTTTCATCACATCTGTCATTTGGCTAATGCTCAGGCTGCTTAAAATATTCCTCTCAGGTCTGCAAGACCTTAAGAGCTTCTCCTTTTCACTTTGCACTCTTTAGTTTCCTATGAATGATGTCACAGTGTTGCTATGGATACCATTTTGGACCTTAGATACACAGCAGGTGAAAACAGTTCCTGTTGTTACCCATGTGTCAGAGCTCTGGGGACAATCTGAGCCACTTACAAACACAAAAAGACAAACAGTTGCACATTTTCTCTTTCGAAAGCTTGTAGCTTTTTGGGTCTGATGAAGGTGATTCCGCCTTAGTAATTTACTATTACTACGATACATAATGTTCAGTCGTGTGTCCACCTTAAATCTATTATTCATTTTTTTATTTTATTTGTTTGACATGTTGACACTGCCATCAGGAACTTCAATTTCACCTTTAATGTAATCACGCTGTTTTTCTCTCCCTACACAAGAAAAAAAGCAGAACAGGTTTTTACACTAGTGAGAGTGAGTTTTTCATATCTTTGTCTAAAGAAACAATGAAATTCTTGTTGTCCGAGCTCATTGTGGCATTGTGCCGGATTCAAAACTGTTTTAAGTTTAGCTACGACGTTTAAACGATTAATTTTTCACACTTGAGTCGACATTCTGTGTTCTCCACAGTAACCACAATCAGTATTGTGCATTACTTCACATCCTCTGTAGGTGTGCTGGGTGTGGCCTTGCTGATTCAGTGCCTCGAGATTGGGTGTTCTCAAAGTTTGCTATGTTTGTGTTGTGCAGGGTTGACAATCTGCCTGAGTTGGAGACGAAAACATCCAAGTGGCGTTACCCAGAAGGCAGAGCTCTGCGACACCACCCCAAGCTAAACACTTACACCCTGACGCTAGAGGATGTGCCAGGGAGTCCCCCACCTAGCCTTCAGTGTGATGTGGAGGAGCTCCAACGCCTCATTCAGTCACATCAGAAGGTGAGTCAGTGATTTTGAAGTCCTCTATGGCAGTAGGTGGGTCCTATTTTCTTGCTCTGCCACTTTAAGATCACAGTGATATTTCAAGCTGGGTACAATCAGCAGGGATGTTTGCTTTTGTGGTAGAACACTGCAGGAGGTAGCTATTTGTGACTAAAGGAAGTGACTAAATGCAGATCACAAACTAGACTGTCTCTTTCTATCTCTGTGCACACACTCTTGCTCTGTTTCTCTGGGTGAATGTTTAATGTCAGTTTTAATGAGGGCAGTATAAGGCGTGCTGCTTTATTTAATAGCTGTTTTTGAACTTTGTTTATTCAGGAAGATCCTCCGCCACAGCATAAGCCAGCACTGCTGATTCTTAACCGAAACTCCAGTGATAGAACAGAGCCTGCTGACTGCGTACCAGCCAATTCACTGGAGCCTGAGCATCAGGAACCCAACTCTGAACAAGAAGAAACCTGCGAATCGAACAGCTCTGCCTCTGCCGTTGAGGATGGACTGTGTATTCGTCAAAACGGCACAGGAAATCATGTCCAATCACAGGACAGGGAGGTGGAGCTTGACCCGCCACCTGTAGGGGATACTGGCAAGGCGTCAGATAAGACTGACTGTTCGCAGCAGCGGGTAGAAGGCGATTCTGTGACATTCAGTGCCCCTTCCTGTGGAAACCAGCGGGAGGAAGCTGATATAGAACTCTGCGTAATCAGTGCCAAACAGGGGGCTGCTTCACAGCCTGATAAAGGGAACCAAAAAGAGCAGGAGGCTTGGCAGAGGAGTTTACAGACTGAAAAAGACAATAACGCTCAATCTGGCAACCTTGAGTCCCAAGACATGGGCCACGCACAATCTCAGGGTCTCCTCCCCACGGAAACTAGTCAGCCTTCACAAAGAGAGGAGGAGAGCGAGGGGAGTGCTGATCTAAGTTGGCGAGGGGACTTACCAGAGGAAAGGGAAGGGGAGACGAGTAGCAGCCAGGAAATAAGCTTAAACTCTAAAGCACTTTCTTCCCATTATCCAGAGGAAAACGGTCAGCACGACGAAAAGTTTGAGCCCAAGCTGCCTACGGAATGCTCGGTGGGAACAGACGAAGCTAAACTGACTTTAATTCAGGTAAATTCTGAGGTTACCTCATCCGTACGAAATGATGAAACTGTTATTTCTGATGGTGTTGACAAGCCACATGGTAGCCTAGAGACAGAGACAGGAAATCTTAGCGAACACACCAAAGGCAACACTGAGTCAGTTTCTGGTTTGGTTACGGATGACGTTAGCATAAAGCAGAACTCTGGATTTAGCATTTCAGGAGGTGATCCTTTGGAATCGTTAAGTCTCCAGCCAAACATGGCACCAGGACCGGTGCATAAGGTTAGACGAGGGCTCTCACCTGTTCCTGAGGCTTCTCCTCATGAAGGTCCAGCTGTGGAGCCCTTGTCTGAGACTACAGAAGGTTTTCAACAGCCACACCAAGTCACACAATCTTCAGAAACTGCATTAGAATGTCAGGAGATTTTGAATGACTCAGACTGTGACATCAGTGCAATAGCAGGGGTTTCTGTTGGCATCACTGCAGAGGTTTCATCTCGCCAGATTGCCGGGTCTCTACCTGATGGAAGCAAGGAGGAGGTAGCCTCTAATGAAAGGATAAACCACCCTAAGGAGATCTTTGAAGAGCAGGAATCAATTGATGACATTGTTGTCTCACAGTTGGATGACGAATCCAAATCTTCTGATGAATCTTCTCTGCCTGTTGACTCTGAAGCCTTTATCGTAAGTGATTTACAACAGGATGTGTCTACGATACTGTCTTCTGAACATTGTGGAGTTGATATAATCATAGGAACTCCTTTCGGAGGAGAAGAGGCATCTGAAACATTTGTTCAGCCAGACTCTACGTCCAAACTGGTTGAGCAGATTCCTGAGGAATATTCTGGAGATACCACAAATGAAAATCAAATTTGTGAGCCAGGGGAACCATCGGTTCTAGTGTCAACTTTGCAAGGTGAACCGGGATTTAAAGATGTTGCTCCAGATGACCCTCTACAGGAAAGGGAAATTGACTCCACTTCACAGGACACAATCAACAAGCTTCTTGATCTGCCGGAAATCACACACAATGATTGTCCTGAATCCAATGCACAGTTCCAGCTCCCAGAATCCTCCAAAGAGAGTGCAAACACACCATCAGAACCTACTGCTGAATGTGTGAATGACCTAGACCTATCTTGTGCCTCGCCCCTAAGCCAAGGCAGCAGACCTTCTGAGACCCCCTTCACTGATGGAGTAAAGATCTCTGCTGTAATTCCTGGTGGGGTTGAATGTGTTGACATGGCTACCGATATGTGTGAGACGACTGTCTCGGGGGACAGCCCATGCTCTCCCATGGACACCAGCAGAGGTTCAGTTCTGGAGAGCTCCTCCATGCCTGACCCACTCAATGCCTCATCCTCAACAGCTGAGCTCACTTCCCCTTTGGATATTAATAGTGGATTGCACCAGGATTTGGAACACACTTCCCCAGTGGATATAGACAATGGTACACCATCAGAACCTACTGTTGAATGTGTGAATGACCTTGACCTGTCTTGTGCCTCACCTCTAACAGAAAGCCAAGGCAGCAGACCTTCTGAGACCCCCTTCACTGATGGAGTAAAGATCTCTGCTGTAATTCCTGGTGGGGATGAATGTGTTGACGTGGCTACCGATATGTGCGAGACGACTGTCTCGGGGGACAGCCCATGCTCTCCCATGGACACCAGCAGTGGTTCAGCTCTGGAGAGCTCCTCCATGCCTGACCCACTCAATGCCTCATCCTCAACAGCTGAGCTCACTTCCCCTTTGGATATTAATAGTGGATTGCACCAGGATTTGGAACACACTTCCCCAGTGGATATAGACAATGGTTTGTCTGAGGAACTGCAGCCTTCAGAAACACCTGAGAGCCTGAATGGATTACATCAAGATTGTTTGATGGATCACAGTGAAACTCTTCAGCAGTGTGCAGAGGAACCACCTGTCGAACAAATGGCAGGTAATGCCTTTTGATTGATCATTCTCTCAGTGCTGACTGTGTAAACAATTATTTTAGGGAATCTGATGTTATTTGATAATGCTACTTTTTACCGTCATCCTGTGTAACAGTTGTTTGAAAGTCTGAAACTTTGTGCTGCTTCAAAATGACGTATGTTTGTCATGTCATTCTAATTAGATTGTTTACAGCGTAAGCTAATTTGTCATTGGCTTCATTGTATTCTGATTCATGCTTGTGTGTGTGCATGTGAATACAATGGTGTTTGCCTTACAAACTATTTTCTATGGACATAACATTGAGTTATTCTTATATAGGTCAATATTTATTCCCATTTTGTCTGTAATGTTATTTTTAGTAACAATTAGGCAAATTTCTGTCATTTGAAACCAAGCTCGATCAGCGGTTTAGGTTTCCATCCGGAAGGGAAAAACCTTCCTTGTCATTCAGGTAGCAGTGTTAATAGGGAGTGTTTGCAAATGATAATGTTATTTGCAGCACGTTGTATCATGGCAACCTGGTGATGTCAGCTCTGCCTCACCTCATTGAATGAAAACATTTGAAAGATTATCTTTTGAACATTGTTTTTTTGTTTTTTGTTTTTTTTAACAAAGTAGATGCCCAGCTCTTTTCCACATGGGTGAGAATTCAGCATTGTTCTACTAATAGCTGCTTACTGTATGTGTTATTTATATCACATTCGTGGAGGTGCTGATCTCAGTTTGAAAGGAGGAATAAGTCACTTCCTTTTATCAAAACATGGGGTTAATAACATATCTAAATGGTCTTATTACGATTTGTTCATTTCTGAGTAAACAAATACACCTGCGCAACAGAAATGTTCGCTCTTTGGACATGAATCAGCAGCTGAGTTAATGAATTACGTATTGATTTTTTGGAAATTTCCATTAAAATTCACACATGAATTTCCTTGAAACTGTGGGTTTCACTTATTTACCTGAAGCGTTTTGTTGTTTGTACATGCACAAAAAACTAGCCTCTTCATCTACAGTAAGTTTGACAGAATGGCAAAGCAGTTACTTTTAAAACTTAAAAGTGCTACAGTCTTTTATTAGTTTCAAATTATAAATGTCATCTTTCTTGATTCCACCTCACAGTTGACGGCGCTTTAGCAGAGGATGCGGTGGACGGACACCAAGACTCCTCAGCAGACATAGCGAATTCCCAAATGGTGAGTATTCTTTGGCTAATTTCCTCAACCTGCCATCCACTAAATAAATCATTAACATTTAGACCTCTTGGTATGATTCACTCAGAGAGTTTGCGTCCAGCCACCCTGAATTCTCACTCAGTAGCTAGGACGGTGGTAGTTTCCCGAAAGGCTCCACTGAGCAGAAATTCAGGGATGTTTTGGACCTGACCTTCTGTCGTAAATCTGATTTCTCCGCCTGGTTGCTGAAAGTGCCTCAGCATTCTGACGCAGGTCTGAGTTGGAACTGCTGAACTGTGTCTCGTAAGGTCAAACTGGTAGATATGGGAACACTGCCACCCTACAGCTCACACTGGTTGTGTGTGTGTGCTGTCCTTTTCTCAAGGAGGAAAGATGACTTCACCCTTTTTTTTCCCAGTTGTGTGTCAGAGGGATGATATCAGTGGCGAGAAAACAGAGGGAGGAAGGGAAGATGTGATAGCTTGGGTGTTTATGCGGGCCAGCAAGAGTGATGAAGTAAGATGACTATCTTCAGTCTTTGGGAGTTTCTGATTAGAAGGAACTTCGGCCGCTTATTTTGTCATCTTCCTGTGGGAATCCATATTGTTTTGACTGCTTCCTGTGCCTCATATTTTGGTTTTGGAGTACCTGATATGATCTAAAATTATTGTTGAGGAGGTGAAAGATAAAGTTAAAACTCTTGATACAGTATATAAAGGCCCATTAACACCAAAAATTATGTACTGTAATGATAACTGCAGGTATAAAGTTATAATAATCATTCTAATTCTTGAGAACGGGAAATAAGAATAGGGAAGTCCGCACCACAGCTATAACAATATTATTGGAATCACTTTCAGATCTTTATTTTTTTTAATCTACTGAACGATAAAAACATTGACAACAGGTCAGAATTCTCAGCAAGAAGAGCTCAGCATACAACAAAACTGCAGTGCATACTTATAATAAACAGAATGCTATCATCCGATGGTGTGGACGCTATCGTTACAGTTATCGTTTTTTGGTGTGAACGGGCCTTAAAGCAATGGAAACTGACACGTGTTTGCTAGCATGTTGCAACTAGCATCTTTGTTTTGATTGTAGTGCACTCAAGCATGAGTGATGAAATTATCTTTTTCTTGTAAGTGATTGACTGAGTGAGTGACATAATGGGGTTTCATTCATTCTGAGGAGACACTTGTGGAGACACCTTTTGTCTTCAAACAAATTAGCAGAGAATGCTAAGTCTAATTTTTTTAAAACATTAGCTTGCTTAAGCTGCATTCTTCCAGTTTTATTTGAATCTAGGTCCTATTTGGGGGAAAAAGAATTAACCCATTATTGACTGTCTGATCTTTTGTACCCCCTTCTGACCTCTCTTGTCAAGGTACTGTAGCTTCTAGGTTGCCTCTGAAATCAAGCTACATTTACACTTATCTGCAGTCTGGCATGCAGACTTGGAACGCATCATGAGGTTGTATAGCTACATTGTCAGCATTTGAAAGAAATTACACTCTGGAACATTCTATCTTAAGAGACTCTTAAGATAAGAGCAGAGGCCACATTTAAAGAGCATCCCAGCTTTGACTAGCATGCTAACTTTATCCTTGCTTGTCCAATACAAAGCACAAGAAAGCCGGAGTTCTTAATAGCGGTGCTTGCTAAAGCAGTATTATAATTTTTAAAATGAATGTATAAAACAATTTTATAGTGATTTTTCTTACATTTTCACTTTTGTTGTCATTCTGTCATTTAATTTATGAAGGTGGATTGGAAATCGGATCTGAGGTCACTTCATTCAGTCTGATTTGTCATGCTAGCATGTACCTTGACTGATTTGTATCTTTCCACACCAGAAAAGCTCAGTCTTCAAATATTTCTCACCATTGGAGATAGTTGATGAATGAATTCCTCATTGCAGTTGCTTCCAACAGAGGGCAGGGTGAAATCCAAGTTATATTTGTAGAGGCTGAAGAGAGAAGATTGTAAGAATTAGCATGATCGTATTATTATGCACTGTTTTTTTTTTTTTTAAACATGGGCGAATGAATCATTCACATAAGACCAGAAACATGCTTTATGAACATAAATGCAATCATTTTTGATTTCATACTGATTTTGAATGTTTTTCATCCTGCGCGTGTGATGGGTAATGGGTAGTTTGGTTGTTTTTAGCTTATTATCCTGTGGCGTCTAGAGCGCTGTGGCTCCCTCTTGTGTTAGGATGCTATATAACTCCTTCCAGATGTGCACTGAGCTGTCTAGTAGTCTACATATATGTTAGAGAGAGGGAAAAGGGCAAAAAAAGCACAGACTGTGGTCTCAATGTGCCACCAATCTTTTCTTTTCACCATCTCTTTTCATCTGTCCTCGTGCAGCAGGCAAGATGCACTGTGGGAACCCCTTTAAAGGAGTTCCTTTTTTACTAAACATCCAAACTAATAAACCACACAAGCCACCCCTGGGAAACAGAGCCTTAGCGTGCACTCACAAACACGTACGCAAACACAAATCCGGCGTCTAGTGTGTTGGAAAAAGGGACAAGGCTGCCTCTCAAGCGCTGGAATGTGAAGTCTAAGAATGGCGTGATGTTGAAGAAAAGCAAAGGGCTGGTGTTGGTGGAGTGGGAGGGTTGAAGACACCGCTGAGGCTGGTCTAGATCCACACACACTCCTTCCATTCATGCATCTGTTTGTTGGCTCCGCCAATGATGGAAATATCCTTTGTTTTGTTCTCACTCAACTTCTGTGCTTCTGCGTGCCCCTTTCAAGTCATCCTCTTTTTTCCCTCAGTCCATTATCCTTTGTTGTTCTCTCATTTCCAGCATTAGTTCTTCCAAAAAGTCATTTACTCAGCCTCATGTTGATTCAAACCCATATGGCTTTCTTCTGTGGAACGCAAAAGCAGAAGTTTGTATTTTAGTGTTTGACACTCTTTTCAATGCATTTAAAAGTTACACAAGCACCTACACTATAATAGTGGGCCTTATAACTATATTTGAACTATATTTACGTCTCCTGAAATCGTAAGATACCTTTTTATGGCTGACTGATTTAAAAGGTCAAACAAACCTCAGAAGCATTTGCATGGATGAATAATCATTTACAAAAAGATCAATAACATACATTTTGAAAACAGATGAACAGATGAATTTCCCTTTAATGCCAACTTGTTATTCACTGCTAATCTTTTTCTTCATTGAGCTGTTAATGATTATGCCCGGACCACTGAGTTAGCGAGTTCGAGAATTCAAAAACCGGATCAGTCAGATTTGTGAATTAATCGCTCAGACTTGTTTCGTGAATTGGATCAACTGATTAATTTAGAGACCTGACTCAAAGGAATGATTCATTCATGATTCGGATATCACTGCTTCTCTCTTGAACGTCAGTATTTTTAGTGACTAATGCCAAATTGCAGTCTATTATTCACATAAAGGTTATCATATAATTAAAAAAAAACTCAATATTGCACTCAACTCATATGGACCACTTTTAGGATGCTTTTATGGCGTGTTTTTGTCATTTGTTGTGTGTGAAAAGAACATCCAGGATATTCTTGAATTTCACAGAACAGACATGAGGAGAGTAAAAAAAAAAAAAAGACAATTTAATTTGTTTTTCGTCGGATTGTTCCTTTAAATCATAGATTGTGTTCATAGATTTAAATCATTTAAATCATAGATGAGTGGTCTTGAGTGAAACGCCGGGATAACATGCGCCGGGATCCCCACAAAGAGCCCTTGTTTCTCCTATCCCCTCCTCCACTGGATAATCACACACGCATGCATGCAAACACACAATAAAGAGCAAATTGACTGCGTCAGGACAACCTACACAGTTATCTGAATATCTGTTACTCCTAAGTACAAGTAAGGATCTTCATGCTAAACGTGGAAAAGTGTATGAGACTTTAATTGAAGGTGTTTTTGTGCTCAAGGTGTGTCTGTGTGACTGTTTTGTGTGTTTTTGTATAAAATTATATATTCCCACACCGTGACACCCTCATTATACTGTATGTTGGATGGAAACTCCCAAGCACATGTAGAAAAACAGTGCAGTTCGGCATGCATGCATTGGTTCAACAACAGGCTTGTCATAATGCTACCACCCTTTGCTTTAATCCACAGTTTCAAGTAATGCAATATTTTAATTTCTCGTTGTTTCCCTATTATATATTGTGCAGTAGTTTAGTAGCAGCCATGGCAGTGTTATAACTATTATAGTACTTATTAATATTTTGAATTAGCTTTTAGTTTTTTGAATAACCATTTTTATTTTAGTCTTAGTAATTTTGTGCTTTTTTCATTTTTATTAGTTTTTGCTTTTAAAAAAAAAATTCTATTTAGCTTTCAATTTTAGTAATTTTAGTACTTTAAAACTTATTTGTGTTTGTTTTTTCATCTAATATTTAGATTTATATTTTTATTTCAGCTTTATTTCATTTAACATCTATTTTAGTAGTTTTAGTTAACAACAACACTGAACCGGTATTTTCACATGAACCCTTGAGTTTTTGTGTAAAGTGAAATCAAGATAATTGACTTCTGATTCTTTTCCAAAAGTTCAATTTGAGTTCCTTGCACTGCCTCAATTGCACTGAATCCCATCAGCCTGTGCTCTGGCCTTTTATCATGCTTGCCATTTGAAACGGTTGCCATGGCTCCAGCTGTTAGTCGGTTGATGGTTCTATACAGATGCAAGGTTTGAAGGTCCCTTGCGTCCAATGCTAAGCTAAATCCGATTTATTGCGCCTTATACTTCTTGTTTGAATTGTGAACAGCATAGATCAACAGTGTATCATGTTCTATCATGACAAAATCTTTCTGATAGAATGCTTACTTGGATGAAAAGGCTTATCTTGCACTTCACAGAACACAAGCTATAGGTGGAGTCTGGGAATCTTGCCCCACAGTTTAAAGGATGAAAACCCTCTGAAAACGTTTCTCTTATCAGAGAATGAATGTGACGACCTTGTCCTCTTTGGTCGCAGTTAACCGATCATAGTTCAACCACACAGTG